TGTGTCTTTGCTGTTTCTGTGTGTTTCGGAAGCAAGCAAGCCGGCTGGTCGTTTGTCGTTGAAGCGCGTGCTTGCGCTTTTATTTTTGGATTTAGGAATTAGGAATTTTAATTTGTTTTCGAAAAATAATTGGAAATTTCACCCGGTTTGGGCTCTCTGCGGACACAGGTAGGCGTGCGGCCGGCTGGCAACATTTGGGAGAGTCTTATCTGCTGGTTTTTCCATCTTCCAACCCTCAGCAGTTCTTTAGCGTTGAGGGAAAGACTCAAATTGCCACTTGAGACAATGAAGAAAGCAAAAAAGAAAGTGTCTGAATTGACGCCGGTGGAACGGATGGAAGATTTGGCTTTGGTTGCGAAGGTTAGCGAAGCTCTAAGCCCTCATATTGGTGGATTGACAGACAAAACACTTTCTGAATATGTCATTCACCTGACTGAGAAACAACTCAAGCAAAACCAGAAGAGCGCAGGACTGGAGAGCGAGATTGCGCAGTCTCAAGGGTTGAGACAGCGGCTAGCAGACAATGGTGCGCCTGCCATACCATTGAGCTTGTGCAAGAAATTGCTTTTATGGACTTCAGAACAATCCCCCCGTTTGAAAAGACGGAGGGCGAAACAGGCCGAAAAGGTTTTCAGTAGTCAGAAAAGGGATGGCCTGAATGAGAATGTACTCGGTTCGTCTTTTCCAGCTTTGGCTAAATCAAATTTAGGACACTCTGTACCGCTCGAAACAGACTTCTATGAACGTGCATCTATGGCTCGATCGTCTGGAGAACGTACTGCTAGGGGAATTTCGAATCTGCCCGCTTGGATGACCAAAGGGAAGTCACAAGAGCCCCTAGCCAAAAAGCGCAGAACTGGTAATGATGATCATGATGATGATGGACAGAAATCGCAACAATCGAAGTCTAGGATTTTGAGTGGTCGAAGTACTGCCGCAGCTATGTCCTCTACCGCCGTTGTCCACCCGGGACTGGACATCAAGGCTCTCACCAAGTGTGACAACAATCGTATGAAAGCAGCTCGTTCCAACAAGCAAGGTTTATCGGAGCAGGAACTCTTCGACGCTCAACAACTCGTCAGATCAGGTGTTCTTCCAGTCGAGCAATACCCCACTTACGATGCCAATATCGGGATGCTAGCTGTTGAGGAAACCGAGGAAGAGACGGAAGTTGAGCTGAACACAGATCATGAAGCAGCTTTTCTTCGTGGTCAAACAAAAAAGTCTGGGCGCCGCGACTTGGAACCAATAAAAATTGTCAAAAATCCGGACGGCAGTCTACAGAGGGCAGCAATGCAACAAAATGCTCAAGCAAAAGAAAGGCGCGAATTACGCCAAGCCCAAGCGAACCAGTTGATCGATAGTATACCAAAAGATCTGAACCGTCCCTGGGAGGACCCCTTGCCAGAAGCAGGAGAAAGGCATTTCGCTCAAGAGCTTCGTAGCATTAATGTTATGAGCCAGATGGATGGTGCTCCAGAATGGAAACAGAAAATAGAGAACAAAACATTGAGCTATGGCATTATTTCAAATAAGAGCATAAAAGAGCAGCGAGAGGGACTGCCGATATGCCAGCTGAAGACTGAGTTGCTATCGGCAATATCAGAGAACCAAGTTCTGGTAGTGATTGGAGAGACAGGGAGTGGGAAAACGGTAAGTAGAGAGAGTGGGACGTCATAATTTTGAGAGACACAAAGAATGCCTCAACAATTTCTTTGTTCAGACACAAATGACACAATATATGGTCGAATTGGGGCTTGCAAAACGGGGGATAATTGGGTGCACACAACCTCGACGAGTTGCAGCTGTGTCAGTTGCGAAAAGAGTAGCCGAAGAATTTGGATGTGCGTTAGGAGAAAATGTCGGCTACTCCATACGATTTGAAGATGTAACCTCCTCTGAGACGATTATAAAGTACATGACAGATGGGATGTTGATGCGAGAATACTTGGCCGACAATGACCTCAAGCGATACAGCGCCCTGATGTTGGATGAAGCACATGAGCGCACAATCCACACCGACGTTCTCTTCGGATTGCTGAAGGATCTGTGCCGCAGACGACCCGATATGAAGATAATTGTCACATCTGCCACCTTGGACGCTGAGAAGTTCTCGTCATACTTCTTCCAATGTCCAATTTTCACCATCCCCGGGAGGACCTTCCCGGTCGAAATTCTATACGCCAAAGAGCCTGAATCTGATTACCTCGACGCTGCAATGATCACAGTGATGCAAATCCACCTGAGCGAGCCAGTCGGCGATATTCGTAAGTCTCTGGAAGTTGCCAACATATTCCATTTGTGAATCTTCTCAATGGCTTTTTTTTGCATGGATTATGCAGTTGTTTTTTTGACCGGACAGGAGGAAATTGACACGTGTTGCGAAACTTTATTCACAAGAATGCAATCTCTGGGGGATTTGGCGCCAGAGTTGATTGTTTTACCCGTCTATTCCGCACTTCCAGCAGAAATGCAGTCACGTATCTTCGAACCCGCTCCTCCCGGCTCCAGGAAATGCATTGTTGCAACCAATATCGCCGAGGCATCTCTGACAATTGATGGAATCTATTATGTTGTCGACCCGGGATTCTCGAAACAGAAAGCATTCAATCCCAAGCTTGGAATGGATTCTTTGGTCGTTACGCCTATTAGCCAGGCCTCTGCTAGACAACGTGCTGGGCGCGCGGGGAGAACTGGCCCAGGAAAGTGCTATCGTCTATATACCGAACATGCGTTCAAGACAGAGATGATGTCGACCAACATCCCGGAGATCCAAAGAACAAACCTGGGGAATGTTGTCCTGCAGCTTAAGGCGATGGGAATCAATGATTTGATTGGGTTTGACTTCATGGACCCCCCTCCAGTTGCTACTCTTGTTGGTGCGTTAGAGTCCCTTCATGCACTAGGTGCCCTTGACGAGGAAGGGTTATTGACCCGCCTTGGGCGAAAGATGGCGGAGTTTCCTCTCGAGCGTAAGTCTCTTTTCTTTTAAATGGGACACAAAAATTGCCCAAGCTCACAATTGGATATTCCAGCCAACCTTTCAAAAATGCTAATTCTTTCGGTCGATCTTGGCTGCTCTGAAGAAATATTGACAATAACAGCAATGTTAAGTGTTGAGAATCCATTCTATCGTCCGAAGGACAAACAAGCACAAGCAGACATGAAGAAAGCAAAATTCCATCAACCAGAAGGGGATCATTTGACTTTGCTGACAGTCTACAAGGGATGGGAGAGCTCAAGGTTTAGCAACCCATGGTGCTTTGAGAACTTTGTTCAAGCGAGAAGTATGAAGCGAGCACAGGATGTGAGGAAGCAACTTGTCACTATCATGGATCGGTATAGGCTGTTACTAATCAGCTCCGGGAAAGACTACAAGATTGTATCGAAAGCAATTGCCGCTGGTTTCTTCCCAAATGCAGCCAAGAAAGATCCACAAGAAGGATATCGTACACTTGTCGATCAGAACCCTGTATATATCCATCCATCGTCGGCACTCTTCAACAAAGCACCCGAGTATGTCATCTATCACGAACTGATACTAACAACAAAAGAATATATGAGAAATATTCTTAGCATTGACGCTCGATGGCTAACTGAACTGGCCCCAGCCTTTTACAAACTTGCAGATCCAAACAAAATAACGAAGCAAAAGAGAAAGGAAAAAATCGAACCCCTGTTCGATCGATTCAATCCAAAAGATTCCTGGCGGTTATCCAAGAGAAAAGGATAATCTCAATTTTAAACTGGAGTTTATCAGATTACTTACTGTACTTCTTGCTTGGTTCTTCGATTGACATGACTGCCGTCGCCACTTTTTCAGAATGAGAAAGGCTATTTTGAATTTGAATTACAAGCTCCAAGAGCTCAGTCCTCTTATATATATAACTGATTCATTAATCGGTTTATGCTACTTCTAGAGTATCCAACTGCCGGTGTAATATGGCTGTAGAGGCCAGGAAGTAGGTTGCTTTTGTTCAACAAAGTTTGAACCATGTGGAGGCGTTCAATAGAGGAACGTTGCTTGCAAGTCAAAAGTGTCAAGGGACGATCAGCTCTCCCACGCGAGGTGGGGTGGAGAATATGTACCCTAACCCTAACCACGTGGAGGCGTTCAATAGAGGAACATTGCTCGCAAGTCGAAAGTGTCAAAGGACGATTGGCTCTCCCACGCAAGGTGGGGTGGAGAATATGTTTGTCTGAACCCACTGTTGCACAGCAGAAGGCTTGTTTCCTGATGTGTTGGTGTAGAACTGCGGGATTGGGCGCACAATTGCCCTTTCCAGATCGTTTTACTTCTCGGTTTGCACCAAGAAGGTGATCTCTCCCTTTTGAAACAGAAGCTATTCAATCAAAAGGAGAAATCGAATCCCTTGTTACGTTGGAAACTCCTGACAACAAGAAGGAGGTGAACAGGGGCAGCACGAGCTGGCAAGACTCAGCGCTTTTTTATATTGAAATACTCCAAATCGAATGGCAAGGGCGGTAGGGCCGCACAATGCCAACAGTCCACAATAAGCCAAAAAACTCCAAGTCGTCATGGAACCAAAACTTGAAAAATAACTTGTTGCCAATCGTTGACGAGTTCTTCACTCAGACTGAAAAGTATGGGTATGTAAACCCCAAAGAATTATTCAATT